TCTGAAAAACACACTTGGTAGGAGGTTTTTAACTTTAATATTTTTGACCCGATATGGATTATTCTCAAAGTCCAAGTGACTTAGTACACTCAGACAAAAAATATAAAAATAAAAATTTGAAGTGAATGCCTCACTACCCATCATATCATCCTTCTAGCTAGTGAATTTTTCTCTGTTGTATGACGTCTCTGCTCATGCAATGTCATGCAGGCACGATTTAATTGTCGTAGAAAGGAATTCGGTAATTCATCAGCTTTGATGGATTAGTAAATTGACGAGGAAGTTGCAAGACTTAATCAATGGTGCTTGGAATGATAACATCGCAAGGGAAGAGGCAGATCTGAAAAATAAAATCAATTAGCTTTGGCAGTAGGAAGAACTTTATCGGACAGAAAACGCCCCCCCCCCCAAATATGCTACAATTCAGAGAAGATCAGAAATAAGATTGTGAAGTTGAGGACTGATGATGGTTGGAGACAGCAGAAGAGGAAATTGCAAGGGCTTTTGAAGATTTTTATGGAAGACTTTCCAACTCATCAAGTCACACAGATTTTTCTGAAGTTTTGGAGGGGGTGGATGAAGCTATAACTCCAGAAATCATCAATGAATGTTTATGAGAGGTGTCTATTGGTGAAGTTAAGTGCTGAAGTGGGAGGAACAAAAGCGCCTGGATCAGATGGCTTCACGGGAGCTTCTACGAAAATAGCTGGGTGATAATAGGGGATCAGGCATACCTGTCGGCTAAAATTTCTTTTCAAATGGTTTTAAGCTCAATTCAATTAATGACACTGATCGATGTGGTGCCAATTCCAAAAGTAAAAAGTCCAGTCACGGTCAATGAGTTTTGACCCATAAGCATTTTTCTTATAAAATCGCTTCAAAAGTTATGGTGAATAAGTCTAAACCGCGGCTAGATAGTTGCATTTCTGAACAACAGGGAACCTTTGTGATGAGTCATAATCAAGACAATTATGTTATCGTGCATGAGACTTTCCATTATTTGTGTCATAAAAAGCGTGTGGTCTTCTAGAATTGGCTTTCATGAACAAAGCCTAGGATAGACTTTTGGACTTCTTGTACCATGTTCTGCTTAAAATGGGATAAGAAGCGGGCAGATAGAATAATGCTTGTGGGGCCTTGATCCGGAACCCTGAAGAGGAGTTCATAAAAGGCTTCATCCACCATATCAACGACGGTGACACTCTCTCAGCTGAAATTTGGCCTTGCCTACGCAGTTAAGGTTGCCTGTGATGAAAGGTATAAGCGAGTTAATCCTATAGAGTCGGACTCGACGAATGTAATTGAGCTTATTATTACTTGCTGCCAGGAGGATAAGCATGCAGATTGTGGCGTGATTAGAGAAGTGAAGTCTCTGTTAGAGCAGGAATGGGATGTTCACATTAACTATATTGATAGTAGCTGCAATAATGAGGCCGCTGACTTCCTTGGTAAGAAGGGTCTTAAAGCACTGCCTGGTTTTCATGTGGGTCTTTGATCCGCTGGAGGAGTTTATAACATTCTGAGGGAAGACTGTTTAGTTGGCCCCCTAGGTACATGATTATCAGTTAAGGTGTCTTTTTGTTAATTAAAAAAAAAAAAAAAAAGAAAAAGAAGTGGCCAGAATGATGAGTTCCTTGGTGTGTAAGTTCTATGAACTTCAAGCTGTGTGGTAAAAGAGTATCTTCTGTTAATCAAGTTTTTCAAGTCTCTTCATCAACGATGCTTATAGGATAATTATATATTTAATCATTTAAATTTATATCAAGTTTCAGTTTAATTCTTTAAATTTAAAAATTACAATTTCAGTTTCTTAAACTTGAAAAACTTAACTTTAGTAATAAAAATATTAACTCGTTGAACTTAAAACACTGACTCATGGCTAATAAATAGGAATGAAAGTAGATTAAGTTCTTATCAAAAGCCTACGGCATAACCTACTTGAGTCTAACCTAACTTATTTGGTAAATAGAATAGGGTCGGGTTCATGTCTATAGCAAGTTCTATTTAAATAAATAAGACACCTATTTTCATAAGGGCTAGCCTATAAGCCTAAATTCTAGCTTATTTAGTTGATTAATTTATGTGGGTCGCCAAAAACTAGGAATATAGGAAGGTATTTTGGTAGCCAATGTAGTGGAAGGGAGGAACTCAAAACAGAAATTTAGTTTTCTGATTGATAAAGTGCAGAAGAAGTTGAGTGGTTGGAAAAGAAATTGGTTATCTTTGGTTGGCAGGTTAACCTTAGTGCAATCGGTCACACACCAAACTCAGGTGTACCACATGTTGCATGAAAATATACATAGAGGGGTGTGTCAGCAAATAGAGAAATTGCAGAGGGAATTTATTTGGGGGGAGGAGAATGGTAGACGGAAGATCCATCTGAAGGGTTAGAAGAGATTGTGTTTGCTGAAGGAAGTTGGTGGATGAGGACTAAGGGATTTGACAGTGATGAATGATGCATTGTTGTGCAAAGTGGGATGGGAAATGATAGAGAAACCAGAGAAGCTTGTGTCAAAAGTGTTGAATGCTAAGTATGGGAGGAAAGCGAAATTAAAAAGGTCTTGTAGTGTCAAGCAGAGTGATTCAGTTGTGTGGAAGAGGCTGGGAAAACTATGAGACAGAATGGTGGCAAATGTTGGTTGGGAAGTTACAAATGGAAGGAGAGTCAGGTTTTGGGAAGATAGATGGATTGGGAATAAGAAGGTGTCGAAGGAGAAATGTAGGACTACGTGGAGGGAGGAGATGGGAGAAATGTTAGTAAGGGATTTTTTGAATGAATGGGGAGAGTGGAACTTGGACACGTTGAAGGAGCTACTGCCAAACGAGACCGTGGAGAGAGTTCAAGCTATAGTGCCACCAACCACAGATGATAGCTGTGATAAGGTGAAGTGGATAAATAGTTCGAATGGTAAGTTCTCTGTTGCCAAAATGGATAAACTTTTGAAAGGTTTTATTGGGTTGAGGGGTGATAAATTGTGAAAGCGATCTGGAAATTGGGGGGGGGGGGGGTCCTTAGGCGTATGCAGGTTTTTTTGTGGTTCGCTGCAAATGGTGGCTTGCTTGCTTCTCCTAAAAGATGTAAAATCTTAAGAGACATCTCCAGGGTGTCTAGTTTATGGGGCAGAGGTCGAAGGCACTCATCATGTGTTGCGTGGTTATGTAATAGCAAGGCAAGTATGGAATGAGTTGCTGGGAAGACAGGAATGGGGAGACTTTTTTGAGCTGAATCTTTATGAATGGTCTCTGCAGAATCTGTAAGTCAAAGGGCAGATGGAATGAATGGAATCAGATATTTGCAGTGTGCGGTTTGGTGCTTTGGCAATGGAGAAATGGCTTTTTTTTTTTTTTTTTTTTTTTATCAAACATTGCTAAGCTCCACTCTTGTAGAACACATGACCTCCTCTGTAAGAGGAGACATCGGCGTCAATTAAGTTACAAGCTCTTGGACCCAAAAAATAAAAAACATATATAAACACTTTGTAATCTGGGTATGTATTCAAAGATTAAATATTATATTTTTCATAATTAATATATGACTATTTCTATACATTTTAATTAAATTAAATTATTTTAATTATTACTAGTCTTATTCAAGTTAATCTCGGTCTGACCCAATAACTCTTGAATCACTATTTCAATTGGTTCAATGACCATTCTGGTTTTTAGTACTAATAAGCATCACTATGTGATGTTCTAAAAATGGTTAATATAATCTTCAATTCATTTTGATTTTGGTTTTTGCAATTTAAAACTAGTATCATGTTAACACATTATTGTCAAGGCATACCTTCAAGTTCAGAGAGTACATATAGTGATATTTATAGATTACCGATCAACAAGATCTTCATATTAACAATAGGATTCAAAAGATGTTAAATATTACTAATCTAGCATAAATATAATATCCTTGACTTTAGGGATTAAATATTGCATTAATCCTTCTAAAAATTAGCGCCTTTTTTTTGTATTTTAATCCCTAATTAATATCTTGACTGTGTCTAAAAACGAATTAACTGTGAGAAAAGAATAGCGGGGTCCAATTTCATTATCTCTTAGAATGAAAATTTTGCCCATGAATTAAACGGCAGGGAAGAGAATGAGATGGCAGAACTATAACTAAATTACAGTAATTGACTGCTTCTGGCCGCCAATAGCAAAAAATTGTAATTGACCGACTGTTGTTTCTTTTAAAATAAAGTCTGGCTTATTGAAGTCACTTTCTTGTGAAAATTGTGATCCGTTAAAGCGTTTTATTTTGCGCTGCTGTCTGATTTCGCCAATAAGCCATGGGTTCTTCTCCTTCTTCAAGTTCTTCCTAGACTTACGATGTGTTCTTGAGTTTCAGAGGTCAAGACACTCGTCGCGGTTTTGCTTCTCATCTTTATAACGCTCTAAAACAGAGACGAATCCATGCTTTCGCGGACAATCCAGGGACCGGGTTGGGAGGAAATATCTCTGAAACGTTATTTCAAGCAATTGAAGAATCACGAATTGCATTAGTAATTTTGTCCCCAAATTATGCTTTTTCCACTTTCTGTCTGGATGAACTGGTGAAGATAATGGAGTGTAAGAGAAGTCAAGCTCAGATGGTCATTCCCATATTCTATCAGGTAGATCCGTCTCATGTTCGTCATCAAAAAGGCACATATGGTGAGGCAATACTACGACACGAGCAAAGGTTGGGAAAGGGAAGTGATCGGGTCTTGCGATGGAGCGAGGCAATGTTTTAAAAGCCGGACCGGAAGTCGAGCCGGAAAGAGCAGCGGGTCATGGTTCAACCGGTTTAAACGGTTGGACCGTTCGGTCGAACTGGTAAGATAATAATTAAATTAAAAATAGTTATATAGTATATATATAATATGATAAATATAATTAGCATAATTTATAGTAAAATTATGTTTACTATATATGTTTTAACAAAATAAAATTCCTTAAGTCCTTAGCAATCTAACACTACATGACTCCTAAGTACTCAATATAATGCACTAAGACAAATGACTTCATGACTTGTCAAATATTAGAGGATCTTGATTAAGCCAAGCATGAGTCTCCAAAAAGGCATCTGGGTCTGCAGCCTCTGCACTGTGACTATCAATGTCTTGTTGAGAAAATGATCCCAAATCAACACCTGCTCCAACTCCAATGTCAAAGCATCTATCCTCAACTTGAGCCTCATTGCCTCTCTCTTCATAATTATCTTTATAAAATAGTTTGCAACAATCATATTATTGAAATTAGTCAAATGTAAAATATAAATTAAAAAATAGAAAGATTAAAAAACATCTAACCTTCTTCATTGATGAAAACATTTGGCATTGGTAGTGTTGTATCATCATAAATGATGTCTTCTTCGATCTCATCAGCACGAAATGTTGAAAGTGGAGGAGAATCAACTTCTTCAGTTATCCAGTATTCAATCTTATCAATACTTTCATAATCAATAGGATCAAAAGTTTTGTTCTTGTTAACAACTCTGAAAAACAAATGACAATAACATAGTATTAGCATTAATTTAATCAATTGTTTGGAAAATATAAATTCAAGTAGAGTCTAAAAGTTAGAAAAATATACCTATTCCTCAAACGAAAATTGTAATGAACAAAGACAAGATCATTCAGCCTTTTATGCTCCAACCTGTTCCTTTTCTTAGAGTGTATTCTTTCAAAGACACTCCAATTCCTTTCACAACCTGATGAAGATGCAGTTTGGCTTAACAATTGAATAGCCAACTTTTTCACATTTGGACAACTACCTCCAAAATATCGCCACCATTCATCTGTCATATCAAAAATAAAACATCATCAAATGATTAAGTCACAGGCTTAATACCTAAGAATCAAGAATCATGACTCATCAAACTATCATCAAACATTAAAATATAAAACTTTACCAGGTCGCATTGATTTTGCAGATTCAAGGGCCAAAGGATGACTAAAGCTACCACTTCTATTTTGGTACTGTGTGCCTTCTTGCAAGAACTTGGTCTTATTGGAAGCTACTTTTCTATTTATAACTGTAAGATATCCATTCATAACCTCTGGCTTTTGAGAAAAGTTAGCCTGGTCATAAAGAAAAGCAGGATTTAAGACATAAGCTGCTGTGTGAAGATCTTGACGAAGCTGTGTATCCCACCTTCTCTTAATAATTCTTGTATAAGGCTTGTATAAAGTTTTTTTGTTCATGAAAGTACTCTTGATAGCTTTCCTTGCCCTATACATACCCTCATAGATATATCCAAGTGAAGGCCTATCATCAGAATCAACTATTCTCAACAACCGAACAAGTGGTTTCACAACTTCAACAATAATCTTACAATCATTCCAGAACTTGTTATCTAATATAATCAATGTTACATCTTTGGCTCTCTGATCTCTACAGTATCTGGAATCTAAAAATGCCTTGCTAGTTACCAGGGCTTGTAAATCATGCTTGTGATCAAGAAGACTTTTTAATGCAATAAATGTGGTAGCAAACCGTGTAGGTCCTGGACGGATGATTTCTTTCCAACCTTCTCTTTTTCTCAGCCAGGCAAGCAAAAATGCATGATTGTAAATGAATTTTGAAACCTTTGAAGCTCTTGATGCCAAACTAGTAACAAGAGCCATTTTGCCAATGTCCGCTAAAATCAAATTTAAGCAATGGGCAGCACATGGAGACCAATATATAGAAGGATGCTTGTCAGTTAATAACCTCCCAGCAGCTTTATAATTAGCTGCATTATCGGTTACCAAATGAACCACATTATCCACACCAACAAATGTAACCATTTCCAAGAATAAGTTACAAAGAGTTTGAGCATCCTTCACAATATCTGAGGCATCAACAGACTTAATGAACACAATCCCTCTAGGACAGTAAACAAGAAAATTAATCAATTGCCTATTTCTTTGATCTTGCCAACCATCAGCCATTATTGTGCAACCAGTTTCTGCCCAAAAGCCTCTACACTCATCAACTAACAATTGAACCTCCTTTTTCATATCTTGTAGTAATTTGGTTCTAAAAGCATGATAAGATGGCCCTTTATAACCAGGTCCAATAGCTGCAATAGCATCTATCATAGGCTGGAAGTAAGGAGAATTAACAGCATTAATTGGAATACAACAATCATAGAGCCACCTAGCCATAGCTAAGTCTGCTCTATGCACAGCTTCCTTACCTGCAAACGCACTTCTAATTCCCGGTTGTGCACCTGGACTTGTCCTTGGGCAAAGAATTTGTCTATTGGTGCAGATGGCTTTCTTTTCATAGCTTGAGATGGTCTTAAGGCAGAAGTTTGAATATTTTGCTGAGAAGAAGTTGGAGTAGGAGTTTGAATCTGTGTCGGAGGAACCTCTTGCAAATTTGGAGCATCCCCTTCAAATGGTGTGACACTAGGACCATAGGGATTGTCCTCCTCATATATATCTTGTTTCTTACCTTTCTTCTCTTCAATTTCTTTCAAATTTTCTCCCAACCGAAAGCGAACATCACCCGGAACTTTTTTACAACTTATTATATCTCCTTTTATTCCCGCAAGATGCTGTTTCATTCTATGTATCCCTCCACCTCCAAATTCCTTTGCACAATACAAACATCTCAAGCGAGGTTTGCCACTTGAGTTTTTGCTAGCTACTTGAACACAATGTTCCCATGCAGGATCAGCCTTCGATCTCACAGATTGTGTAGATGGAGCATTACCAGATACTTCTTGTGGTTGGGATGACATCTTCTAATTTCTACAATACAAAAAATACACAATAGTATCAATTAATTATAACTAGTAAACATATCTAGAGAGCATGTTAATTAAGAAAAGGATTTTGAATTTAAGCACTCAATTATTTAAACAATTAATTATAGTTCATGGAAATATAATTATAATTTATGGATCATGTAGGAGTCTAGGTACAAAGAACCAGTAAACCTTTAGCAGGAGGCATAAAGAAAGTCGATTTATTAAAATTTAACAAGAACCGCGTAATGCAATGAGCAAAGCTCATCAATCCACTTCTTTTACTATAACCTAGTGAGATGGACTATCTTGATGTAAGTACAAGAGCAATTCTATGCCAAGAAGAGGCAGCTTGTAACAAGTAACTACTGCATGGCAATTATGCTGACACTATTTATAATTTAAGAAGATAGGTGTTCATAGATAATAATAAAAATAACATATCATAAGCATTGTGTACCCAACTAAATATACTCCTAAGTAACAGTAAACTTATTTTTTCCAAAATAATTCCTCATTGAATGTTTTCTATGTTTCTGAACTTCCTACATGAGCACATTATTACGCCCTTGATTCAATCAGATAATCATTGAAGGGGAAAATACTTTCTACTTTATTAAAAAAAAAAAAAAGAATTGAAAGAGGAACTGATGTCTACTATATGTACCTTCTGATTCGCCCATGATACCAAGCTACAAAACAAACAGAAATTTCCAAAGATGGTTGCCAAATAATGAATTATGATCATGAACACATATTAATAGGTGATTCAAATTTGCTACCAATCATTATGGCTACTCTCAGTACCCTACCGACTTTAACGCAGCTATAAGCGTTTTTCTTGGACAAAGCAAGAAAATACAAGAAACTTGTATTTTAGATGTGGAAGAACTCATAAAACAATCCACGGCGAGTGCCAGAAGGCAAAATCAGACTTAAAAGCAATCAAAACTATTTTCTACTAATGAGTAATGATGCTCAAAACTGTTGATTAGTACAAAAAGAAATTACAATTGACTGTTGAAAAAATTTCTGCAGCATCAATCCAGAACTATTGACTAGTAAATAAGTGGCAAAATTAGACATATAATTTGGATACATGCAGCAAGCACGAACGTACACAAGGAGAGGGCGGTGAGCATCATATATCTGCCATCTGTGACAGTTGGTTTATTTTTATATTTCTTTCTAACTTCGTTCCAAACTCAACAAAATCCTCCTGGTTACATGCAAATGGAAACATATATACGTATATGACAGTTACACTTCTGAATTGTTTTATCATATTCTTCAGTACATTCGACCTGTATTAAACGCATATTTAGGAGACAGATCACGATGTAGCTGAAGTAAACACAAGTTCGTCAGCTCGCTGCGAAGAAAAATGGATCCTAACATGGATTCCTCGGTCACAGCTCAGAGCTCACTCAACACACATATATATAAGCTTATACATCGGTCAAAATCAAATAGTTATAGGCTTACAGCTTATTCAATATATATATAAGCATCAAACGCTATCTTCTCCATCAGCACTACTGGTAGTCGGCTCTGGTTTTGGCAAAATAAACAGAGCATAGGTTCATTGAAATTTGAAACAGCCGATTACCGATACAATGAGCAGATGACTTACCTGTTTAGAATCCAATGAGCAGAGAATGATTTACCTGTTTAGAATCCAAGAGATTTGAATTGTGATGACTTCAAATTTATGATCACCTCTGCCTTCAAGCCTCCACTTCTTTGACTTCGGTTTTTCGGTCCAGCTCCTTCAAAGCGAGAACGTGCGGACGCTGAATCAGAAATAACCTGATCGTGAATGCTGGTGGACGACGGCGCGTATGAACATAGCACGACGGAGCACGGTGGAGGACGACGGAGCACAGTGGGGACCTAGGGCACTCAAACTCACAAAGTCGGTCCCGCCACTCTCACGTTCAACGGAAAGGCCAAGCAAAAAGTCAGAAAGAGCCAAACAGGGGTCGTTTTTTAAAATTTTTTTTTTAATGTAATATATGGACTTTTGGCAGTTTTTGGGCCTTTTTTTTATTTTATTATGATGACATTCAGCCCGTCCGGTTTTTACAAATCCGGAATGGCTTCCGGCCCAACAGCGGATAAAAGGCGGTCCAACACGGATTAACCACTCAGGCAGCCCAAACCCTCTGTCCGAGCCGTTGTGTGGACCGGGCGACGGTCGGACCGGTCGGACCGTCCGGTCCGGTCCGGTTCTTAAAACCTTAGAGCGAGGCACTCACGGCAGCCGCCAACCTTGCCGGCTTTAGCTTTTCAGATTCGGAATATAGGTAATATTTCATAAATATCAGGAACGCAGGTTGTTGGATTAACCCCTTTTTGTTTCAGTAAAGTTTACGCTTCAATAATTTGTCACTCACTAAGATTGATGATGATGAAGATGATTGTTGTCATTGATTATTCATTTGACTGATTCTGTTTATTACCTTTCTGCTTTATTTTACATTCCTTTCAAATGAAACAGAACCGAATGGCCGGCCTTTCCAAAAATTAGGATTTATATGGTCTTTGTGGTTTCATCTTAATTCAGCTGCGTCCTTCATACCTATGCTTAGGCACCGAAATATGTTGAAGTAATTATGATTAAAAATAATAAAAAATTATATACTCCTCTGGTCCTTAAAATAGAATCTAATTATTAATTAATTTTAATTCTAAATATAAAATCTATTTCTCACATTTATTATTTTTTCTAAATTACCCCTATGAATCTTCCTCCATTATAATCAAGTAAAAGAGGAGGAAAGGATATTAAAGAAGATGATTATGGTATTTTAAGAAAAACATGTCATATTTCTTATAATTAACTAACTTACCTAATCTTTTTAATCTAATCAAATTAGTTAAATAGGTCCTATTTTAAGAATCAGAGGAGTATAATAATATAGGACAAACAATAAATTGAGTCTTAATCCTATATTTATAACTCCAAAAAAATTATAATTGTGTTTCCTATTCTTGCACTTTGGCATGAGCAAAAAATAATTATAGGTTCAATAAAATTAAACTACAAAATGGGACTTATATTTGGGATTGGAGGAGTACATATTTAATAGCTAAATTCTTCCATTATCTCTTATTCTTAATGGTTCCATAAAATTCTTTGCGTAAAAACAGGTATTGTTAGTTTATTTCTAATAATGATGCTAATTATTGTTTCGCGGATGTTGAATTTAATGTTGACAGCTGCTCTGAAAGTGAGCTGGTTGAGAAAATTGTTGAGGAAGTTTCAAGAGAATTAGGCGTTAGAGAAGGAGAATAGAGTCACAAGTTGATAAATGGTTCCCTTATGATGTGTTCTTGAGTTTCAACGGCAAAGACACTCGTCGCGGTTTCGCTTCTCATCTTTACAATGCACTAAAACAGAGAGGAATCCGTTCTTTCATGGACGAACCGGGGATTGAAAGGGGAGAAGATGTCTCTGGCTCATTAGTGCAAGCAATTGAAAGATCACAAATTGCTTTGGTAATTTTGTCTCCGCATTATGCTTCTTCCAAATGGTGTCTGAATGAACTGGTGAAGATAATGGAGTGTCAAAGAAGTCAAGCTCAGGTGGTTATGCCCTTATCCTATGAAGTAAATTCGTCTCATTTTCTTCATCAGAGAGCCACATATGGTGAAGCAATTGAACGACATGAAGAAAGGTTGAGAAGGGAGAATGATGGGGTGATGCGGTGGAGGATGGCACTCGCAGAGGCTACCAACATTTCCGGCTCTAGTTCTTCAGCATATCGGTATTATTCTAATTTCTTCAGCATATCGATAATATTCTAATTAAATCAACTCTCATTTAAATAAAAAAAAAAACAAAGAAAAGGACATGAGTATTGGTCAAACGCATAACACATTCCCATTCGATATTGTATGTTTGGACATGACGAAAAACTGGGCAATGTTAACATACAGCGCCAATAGCCTCCATGTGCCGTTGGCCATCTTTTGAAGCTTCTCCTAATCGGTTCCAGAAATTAATGCTCGCTCATACTTGAAAGTTTTCTTATGATGCATATACATATTTAGTAGCTAAATTGGTCCATCTCTTATTCTTGATGGCCCCGCTAAAATTCTTCCGTTTAAAAATACAGTCATGTTGGTCTTATTTCTGATAATTATATGTGGCTGAATATATTGCTTCACTGATATTTAATATTGACAAGATTGAAAGTGATCAGTTGATTGAGGCTATTGTTGAGAATGCTTCAGAAAAAGTAGACACTGGACAATTGTCTGTTGCTAAGCATCCCGTTGGCGTAGAATCACGAGTTCTTGCATTGACAATTGAATGGGCAGAAAAGAGATCCCCAAAACCTCTTATCATAAGCCTCTGGGGGATGGGAGGTATCAGTAAAACAACTGTTGCCAAAGCCATTTACAATACAATTGGTTGTAAGTTTGGAAAAGCAAGAAGTTTTCTTGCAAATGTAAGAGAAAATTCAGAATATGCTAATGACCAAGTTAATTTGCGAAAGCAACTCATTTCTGATATCATTAAAACAGAAGTTTTCTTAGTGGAATATGAAGACTGGAATGAAGAATCAGGAGGTTTCGGGTATGAGAAAAGATTGAAGGGTTTGAGGGCAGGAAGATTTTTCTGGTTTTTAGGGTGGTTTTTGAAGTGGAAAAGAATGGAGAAGCATAGAAATAGAAAGCGTATATCCATGAAGAGATGAAAAATGAAGAAGAGAGCAACAGAGAAAGGATAAAACTCGACTTTTGTATGTTGGGTCAACGCCGCTTAATCTCCATGGAGTATTACTGTTGACCGTCGCAGTTGGAGTATCCGGCCGCTTGTCTTCGCTCTTCAACAATTATTTTTTCCATTTTTGTGACAGTATCAATTAATTTGAGAATTCACCATAAAAATGCATTTCTTTTTTGGGCCAAAAGCATTAATTCGTTTGTTTTAGTTAGTTCGGTGTTTGGTGATGTCTCCTAAAATATTTTGATTATAATCGAATAACTAAAAATTACTGGGAGAAAATTATTTTTTTGTCTTTTTCATTTTTCTCCCTATTTTCTTTTTATTCCCCTCTCTGAAGCCCTTAATCTCACGGCTTCCTTCTCCTTTCTCCTTCTTCGCGGTCAATCCGTCACAACTCACACGCAGCTTGGCCGTCAGTCGTCAGTCCATCTCCTCCCTCCTTGGTCATTGCATTCCAGTCGCAGTGCCCTGGTCTCTCGCCTTCGGTCTTCATTATTGTGAGATAATACTTGGACTTGGCTCCAAACTATATGCGATCCACATTCTAAAACGAGCCCTTTAGGCTAGTCTGATGTTTGGCTTTTCATTCTCATCAACAACAATAAATATATATATATATCAATTAAAAGAAAGGTAAGAGGATAATACGCCTTCTGTTTTTTATAAATAAGGAAATTATTTAGAGATGATCTGTTTTTATCTGTAAGAAGTATAAGGAGAGACACAGGGCAGTGTACGGGAAGAAAAGGAGACATAGGTCACATGAGGAGGTTTTCATTAGTTCCTTGAATCTCCTATCCCATATTAAATATGACTAAATTATAATTGGGATTAAAACTTACGAACTCATAGCAAGAATATAAACTTGTATCGTAGACTTGTAAGAGTTTATTAGTGTAGTTTTATCAATAAATAGTTATTAAAAGTATATGATTAAATTATTAAAATAAAAAGTGGCAACAATTTAGCTTAAATATATTTCAAATTTAATTCATTGAAATATTTTTTAATAAAAGTCAATCATATTATAAACTAGAAAAATAAAATATTCATAATGAAAGTATAATAGAAGAGTCCCATGGAAAGATTCCTTTTAATAATTAAAAAATACTATGGAAAAATATTAAATGATTGAAATTAAATCCATCAATATTAATAATTATTATACTCAACATAGCAATTTATATTGCATTCAAAAGTTGTACTAATAATATTAGTTCTTGTTTTTTAATTTGTATTTTCCCTTGAATTGGACATTCCTAAACATTATATAAATTAAGTTCTACCCAGTACTTGTTTGACTGGCTCAACTTGATAAAATAGTAAATTTGGAGAGTTAATTGGCTAGTTTAGCTGAGTTTATAGTTAGTACTAGTTTAAGAATGAATTGATGACACGATTTTATCTAGTTCAAACGCAAAAATGTTAAACTTAAGCTGTAACTTTTTGAAAATGATTTTACGGAATTTGAAAGAAGTATGTGAGAAAAATTTTATCTCGATTTGCATGAAAATATTTTTTCTAAAGATAACCAAACACCACCTACCGTGCTTATTTTAATTAACTCTTGGCTCGATATACAAAGCGATTCAAACTTGGGTGACTAATAAATGAATTAATTATAAAGCCACTTCCGCGTAGCTTCCAAAGCAGCCCAACTCTTGGCTTTTTATATTTGTATCATTATTTGTTTAAGAAACTGACCTTGCCCTAATTATGAGATCATTAAAATTATGAATTCAAGGATTGAGTTATTGTCGTTAAGAAGCATGGATCCATATCATGTACAATCAACGTATAGAATCGTATATTATACCAGTGTTTTGGATAGTTGATTTGCAGGAGAATTTCATTAATTTTTCATTCGAAATTATATAAAATGATGATTTTATAATAAATAATTTACAAATATGAAAACTAGGGTGAGTAATCGATCAGATATTAATACGGGGGGTGAAAGACGGTGGTTTGCGCGATTTTCTGGCTTTTTGCTTCTATTGTGAGTGCCCAGACCTGGACCGTACCTTTCAATGGAGTTTCTGAAGAGATTTGAAGTCTAATATGAAAGTTAAAGGTGCCTCAGAACACTGAGTTTTTCCTCCACAGAAGTCTTACAAATGCAATTCCAACATGCTAATTTCTCAAGAAAAGAGGAAATGACGTCACAGATGTGTTTTGTTTGCAATAACAATGCTGAAACTCTTGATCATCTTTTCCTTCCGCGCGTTTTGGTTAAAATTAATACAAATTATTCATTTGTAGCAGCTGAAAATTTCGAAGCAAAATCTGCTTAGATGGGAGATTAATGTTTGACTATGGATTTTACTAATCTTCGTATTAGATAAATCGTTTTGCAAACGTTATTGGATTCTGAATTTCAAATCGAGCATGAGTTTGTGACAACGGATGATTGTTTTTTCAGTTTTCTTAGTACTACTTTATTTTTATTTTATTTTTGTCTTTTGTTTTTTTAATAGTTCTTTTTATATGCGCTGGACTTTTTTTCCACTTTCTTGTATTTCTTTCAATGATATTCAAGTCAACAATTCCGAGAAACAGCTACTTTATTGGTAAAAATTACTACTATTTAAGTGATAAAGACAGTCATACTCTTTCTCTTTCCTGTTCAGATTGCTTTAAATAAATATTTTATCATTTTTGGGGTCTGAAAATGAATAATAACTGCGTATGACTTCAAAGGGTATTTGGGAGCTCAACGGTACTTTCACGTGTAAGTTGAAAGAAAGCTATTCTCATATATTATATTAAATTCTGTAAAATTACTTTAAAAATTCTGATTTGATTTTTATCTAAACATTTCCTAAAACAGGATAAGAAAATAATATGGTAGAACAATAACTAAATTATTCTAGTTTATTATGAAGTGGCTTTCTCTCATAGCTGGCATCGATACATATACATATATATATATGTACGTATGTGCGTACGTCGTGGAAAGTGTGATCCGTTGAAGCGTGTTATTATTGCGCTGTCGTCTGATTCCGTCCATGAGCCATGGCTGCTTCTTCTTCTTCCAGTTCTTCCTGGACTTACGATGTGTACTTGAGTTTTAGAGGCCAAGACACTCGTCACGGTTTCACTACTCATCTTTATAACGCTCTGAAACAGAGAGGAATCCATGTTTACGTGGACGATGCGGAGGTTGAGAAGGGAGATGATATCTCTGCTGAATCATTTTTGCAGGCAATTGAAGCATCACAAATTGTGTTAGTAATTTTCTCTCCAAATTATGCTTATTCGCGAAATTGTCTGGATGAACTGGTAAAGATAATGGAGTGTCAAAGAAGGCTAGCTCAGGTGGTTGTGCCCATATTCTATAAAGTAGATCCGTTTGATGTTCGTTATCTGCAAGGCACATATGGTGAAGCAATGAAACGACACGAGCTAAGGTTGGAATCGGGGAATGACAAGGCGTTGCGGTGGAGCGAGGCACTCCGGGAAATTGCCAGCGTTTCCGGCTTTCATTTAACAACACATCGGTAATATATTCTAATTTAAATCAGCTCTCGTTTAAAAAAGGAAAAAAAAAATAGAAGGAAATGATGATGGGTCGAACTCAAATCAAAATACTTTGCCATACGGCCTCAAGTGCCATGAGAAATTGGATATAGCCATATATAGGTTGTTGGACTAACCCCTTTCTATTTCATAGTAATTCTCTGCTTTTTGGAACTACTTGGGACATGTTTGCTTGCATAAATTCTTCATTTTTTTGGTTGACTTTTTACTTGGGACGCCGTACTTAATGTCGCTTTGAGATGGTCTTTTTGGTTCCATCTTAATTCAGCTTCATCGTTCATGCTTATTTGTACTCGGGTATTCTTAGAATTGCGGTCGAGCGAGAAAGTAACGTCTCCTCTGTGCGTTAGGTCTGGGGTTTCTCCTAGGGGTGTTGAAGCGTCTTCTTCTTTGGGTCGTTTTCATGGCAAATCGTTTTGTGATGGGAGAAAGGGGCTTCTGTTGCTCTTTGCATCAGGTAACGATGGATGAAGGAAGGAGGGTGTTCGGCGATGGTGATTTAGGGATTTGTGACGTGTTGTTCGAGGATCTGAAATAGGAAGTGAGTGCTGTCTTTCCTCTGTGCTTGGGGCTTCGACTCTGTGGATCTGAAATAGGAAGGAGAAGGAAGTTGAGATTTCAAAGCTGCTGATGGAAGATATGGGTTTGGCTGGGTTCTTTTCTCTGAAAATTTTGAAGATGAATGGGCTGAATCTCTTGTTTGATATGAGTCTAGGGAAGATGGAAGATGCACATAGCTAGTGTGCTGTTTTGGGGGAGTCCTCCTATGACTTTTTCTTAGGGGTTTGGTGGCTGGCCTGCAGTCACCCAGGCGCCATGAGGAAACTTTTTTGGCCTGCAATCACCCTCTCACATTAATATTATTTTCATATATTCTCTTTCATCATTCTTCCATTTATTGATTCTTATTTGTTCTCTTAATAAATAACAGTAAATTTGGGAAAAAAAGATACATGTTTGACATGTTTATTATTTTTAACTAATTTTAATTGTTAATTCATTAAACGTGATTCAGTTATTTGAAATCTATATACAAGACTGGAGGGAGTAAGTCTGTATTGCTGGTTTATTTCTAGTAATGATGCGTGCTAATTATGGTTTCCCGGATGTTTAATTTAATTTTGACAGCTGGTCTGAAAGTGAGCTGCTTAAGAAAATAGTTGAGGAAGTTTCAAGAGTATTATCATTGGCTGAGGAGCATTCAATGAGAATAGAGCCACAAGTTCATGAAGCAAAAGTTGATGAATGGTTCAATTTTGACGTTTTCTTGAGTTTTAGAGGTGAAGACACTCGCCACGGTTTCACTTCTCATCTTTGTAGGGCTCTAAGACAGTCAGGAATCCACACTTTCATGGATGATTCAGGGCTTGAATGGGGAGAACAGGTCTCCGCCTCATTACTGCAAGCAATTGAAAGGTCACAAACTGCATTGGTAATATTTTCTCCAGATTATGCTGCTTCCACGTGGTGTCTGGATGAACTGGTGAAGATAATGGAGTGTCGAACAAGTCTAGCTCAGGTGGCTATTCCCATATTTTATGATGTAGATCCCTCTGAAGTCCGTCACCAGAGAGGCACCTATGGTGAAGCAATGAAACGACATGAGCAAACGTTGGGAAGTGAGAATGATGGGGTGATGCGGTGGAGGGAGGCACTCAAGGCAGCTGCCAACATTTCCGGCTTTAGTTCTTCAGCTTATCGGTAATACTCTAATCAAACCACCTCTCATTTAAGAAACAAAAGAAATGATTATTGGTCAAACTCAAAATACATTCCCATGCGGCCTCAGGTGTCGTGTGAAAATTTCCCCAATTGCTGCAAAATGATACCCCACTCAATAATTAACTTAGTCCACTTTAATTCACTTTATCTTCCATATTCATCGATCTACAATTAATACTTATAGTGCATGTTTAGGAGTCTCCATCAAAAGTTAGTCTAATAAATATAATTAATAAGAATATTTTAGAAAAAAATAATTATTATTTATTACAAATAACTAATTTTCTTAGTATTCACAGATATTTATCTAGCTTTTGTATTAAGGACTGCAAAGTAGTTAGATTAACCCTTTTTTATTTCATAAATAATTCTGTTCTCCGACATTTTGCTTGCATAAATAATACAATCACGTGGGTGATGAGAAATTTTAGTTTTATTTTTAATAAGAATTCTGAATGTAGGAGAGAATGTAGTATGTCTGGTTAGAGACAATTTAATCTTTTAAAATTTATATTTTGATATCTGTTTCTGCTAAATAATTACAATTCTTACAATCCCCTTCCTCAATAAATAAATATTATCCTTCGCAAGTCTTTCCAGCTAATTTTCTCATAATAATTTGTCATTAAGATTATTATTATATTAATGAGATATGGATTATGAATATTTTGCAAATCTCTTATAAGATTGAATTTTCATAATATACATGAGTAATTTTCATCTATTGAGATAAATGATTTCTTATAAGATTGTGAACCCTTTTATCAGAGGAATTCGACACAAAGTCCTTGTTATTCATAGCGTACATGCTATGCTTGTTCTTCATGACTTCTGTGCCATGCTTGTTATTCGTGGTCTCTATGCAGCCCTTGCTATTTTATTATTCATGGCCTCTGTATGTGTTGTGCTTGTTATTCATGGCCTCCACACTGCATTTGTTACTTGTGGCTTTTGAGTTGCATTTGTTACTTGTTCTGTCTTGGTTCCTCTAATGAAACAAATTTTTAGAGGAAAAATGTTTTCAATGTTATTTTGTATCATTGAAAATAAATTCTTTTATTAAATTTTTTATTATTTGAATTGTACTTGTGATTATTTTCTTTGGTTCCTAATTTTGTTTAATATAAGCTTAGTTATAAAAAGTTTGAAAACAAGGTTTATACATGCAATAATTAAAAAAAGATTATCTCTTTCATTTGAAATTTGCATCAATAACAAACTTGCATTCACACATATTTATTTCTAGTGTTTAATAGATTTGAATTATCAAAGTACGGCTCTCAATTCATTGTGATTCAATATTTATTCACAGGCTCTTAGATTATTTTAGTAATAAATTGTGCATTGAGACTCCATTTACTTGCCTAGTTAATTGTAGTCCAGATAGTATAAACATCACCTTCTTGTTGGATAATTGTATTATTGCTTACCATAAAGTTGATTTTATGATAATTCTGATTTATTCTTTTGCTGTGTATAAAAGTTGCTACAACAAAATTTATAGATATGATGCCCCCTTCCTTGTTTGTTTATTTATATATGCCTAAATTAAGGGAAAGGGTCTCATATCTTGTTAAAAAGAGAATTTGTTGATTGATTGTTGCAGATATGTTTAAGAAGTCAAATGTATAAAGAGATCTATGTTGAGTATTTATACATAAGTTCGTGAATGAATAAATGTATTCATATGATATTTTATTAATAATGTAGATCTTACTAATTGTAAGTTGAAAATATTAAATTAAATCAACTTATAAAGTGAGGTTACCCTATACTTTGTGCTGATCGAGCTGTTGTAAGTTTGGGCGTGACCAAAAAAAAAAAAAAAAATGAGTGCCATTGGCCTTCTTTTGAAGCCCTCTCTTATTCGGTTCCATCAATTAATGCCCACTCATTTATCCAATATTGGAAGTTTTCCTATGATGCATATAAATATTTAGTAGCAAAATTGGTCCATCTCTTAAGTCTTAATCTCAAAGGTCCTCTAACATCTTTCTATTTAAAAATAAGTCTTGTGGGTTTTATTTTTGATAATAATGGTATATATGTTGTTGATTATATTGTTTCACCGATATTTAATATTGACAGGTTTGAAAGTGAGTTGATTGAGACCATTGTTGAGAGTGTTTCTAAAAAAGTAGACAATGGACAATTATTTGTTGCCAAGCATCCAGTGGGAATAGAATCACGGATTCATGAATTGACAATTGAATGGTCAGGAAAGAGATCCCAAAAGCCTCTTATCATAGGCCTCTGGGGGATGGGAGGCATCGGCAAAACAACTGTTGCCAAAGCCGTCTACAATACAATTGGTCGTAAGTTTAGAAGAGCAAGAAGTTTTCTTGCAAATATAAGAGAAAATTCAAAACATGCTACTGGGTTAGTTAATTTGCAAAAGCAATTAATTTCTGATATCATAAAGATAGATTTTTTCAAAATACCTAATATTGATAGAGGAAAAAAAATAATTCAGGAAAGATTTCCCACCATAAAAGTGCTTGTTGTATTGGATGATGTGGATAGTGTTAATCAACTAAACACATTCTGTGGGAGTATTGAATGGTTTTGTCCTGGGAGTATAATATTCATAACAACTAGAGATCAACATTTGCTTGATGTCATTAATGCTGATCATAAGTATAGAATGAGAGAAATGAATGGAATGGAGCCCCTTGTGCTTTTCAGTTGGCATGCCTTTAAGCAAGCACAACCCTCTGAAAACTTCATAGAATTATCTAAAGAGGTAGTTGCTTATTGTGATGGACTTCCACTTGCTCTTGAAGTCCTTGGTTCTTGTTTGCGTGGGAGAACAATTAAACAATGGAAGGGTGTATTGTCCAAACTACAGAGGATTCCTAATAAAGATGTATACGAAAGGTTAAAAATAAGTTATGACGGATTGGATGACCATACAGAGAAGGACATTTTCCTTGACATATGTTGCTTTTTTATCAACAAGGATAGGAACTATGTCACACAAATATTAGATGGTTGTGAATTTTATGCAGAAGATGGACTACAAATCCTCATAGAGCGGAGCCTAGTAAAAGTTGGTAGGAATAATAAACTTGAAATGCACGATTTATTACAAGAAATGGGGAAAGAAATCATTCGTGGAAGCCCACCGAAACATCCTAAGGAACGTAGCAGGCTATGGTTTCACAAAGATGTGCTTGATGTGTTAACAAAACATTCGGTAAGGATTTTCTCGGCATATTTTTTTCTTTTCCAAGGGATGCGTTATCTTTTTCCAACAAGTTTGTTATAGCAATCCTGTACATGAAAAGCAAGATCAAGAGATATATAAATGTTATTTGTTAATTGGCTTTCTCTCAACATTTATCATAAATGTTTCCCTCACTCAACATTTTTTCTCCCACATATTTGTAGGGAACTGAAGCTATTAAGGGTATATCTCTGAAAGCACCAGAAACCCATAGAGAGCGTGTCATTGATTCTGAGGCGTTTAAGGAGATGAAGAAACTTAGATTGCTTCAACTAGATTATGTAAATCTTAAAGGAGATTATCAACATCTTTCTAAAGAGCTCAGGTGGCTTTGTTGGCATAGATTTCCATTAAAATGCATTCCAAAAAACTTTTACCAACAAAATTTAGTTGCTATTGACTTCAAATATAGCAGCCTCAAAGTTGTTTGGAAGAAGCCCCAGGTGTATATATTTATATTATTACTATTTATGAAGATAATCAATATTTTTGATCATATAATTCTACTAGTATGAAGTTTCTAATTATTTTAATTGAAACTTGCATGTTTTTGCAGCTCCTGGATATGTTGAAGACACTCAATCTCAGTCATTCGTCTTATTTGACACAAACTCCTGATTTTACAAAACTACCAAACCTTGAAAGACTACTGATGAAAGATTGTCCAAGCTTGATTTATATTCATGAGAGCATTGGGCACCCAAAAAATCTTCTTCATGTAAATCTAAAAGATTGCAAAAGTCTCAGATATCTTCCTAGAAACATCTACAAGTTGAAATCTGTCAAAACTCTTATTCTTTCTGGTTGTTCATTGATTGACCATTTAGAAGAAGATATTGAGCAGATGGAGTCCTTGACAACTCTGATGGCAGATAAAACTGCCATAACACAAGTACCCTTTTCATTAGCAAGACTGGAAGGGCTTAAGCACGGATACATATCTTTCCTTGGTCATGAAGGAAGAGCAAAAGACATATTTCCTTCTCTCATATGGACTTGGATGTCACCTAACAATATTGCCCACTCTCCTATTGAAGAATTTGTGCAAAGCATATCAGCCATCGATATCTCAGTTAGACGGAATAGTAGCTTTTGTGGCCTATCTCCATTTCTGGGCGATCTTGTGAAGCTGCGACATATGTGGGAGGAATGTCGACCTCAGTTTCGATTTTATGAAAGAATGGCAAGACTTTTGGATGCCTTGTATGAGACAAATTTTGTGGGATTGGAAGCAACTCAAGATATACCCCAGATCTCATATGCGGAAGCTTCTGCATCATCTGAGGCCCATGACCAACTTCAGATTTCAAGGCCAGCAGATTCCTTGAAATCTCTTTTACTTCAACTTGGAGTGTTAGACAAGATAGACTTGTTCAGAGAGGAAATTTCTCAGGTTCGTCTCTTTTTTGATTTTAAACCTGATGAGCTTTGTGAAATAACCAAATCTTGTTAGTGCGTGTGTTTTATGTGTTAATATAACGATGAAAAGGCTTCGGTGTTGTTTTTCAACAATATTTAACAGAAACATGAACAATTATTATCTGATCCTTGCTTTCTTTCCTTTTCTGGCCACATTATTATTTGATTCATATGTTGATGCAAAATAGGGATGGAATTATGGTGGGTGGGATGATTTTCACCTACCTGGTGATCAGTATCGCGATTGGTTCATCTTTAAGGGTGAAGGACGCTCAGTAATTTTTAAGGTACCTCAAGTCATAGGTTATCGCTTGAAAGCGATGCTTCTCAACGTCAGGTATTCTTCTTGCACGGACACCACAACGCCTCAATTTCTCATGGATGTTCTAATCATTAACCTCACAAAAGCAACAGTAAAACATCTTAAGGGAGACTCGTCAACTTTTCATGAAGATGCCGAGTGGCAGAATATCATTTCAAGTTTTCAACCTGGTGATCTGGTGGAGCTTGTTTTAAGTATTGGACCTCAATATCCTGTGAAGAAGATTGCAGCATACCTGATTTATGACGGTTCTAAGCCTCGCAGGTTTTTGAAATCATCATTATCGCAAAAGCTGATTTGGGTTTGTCGTATAGCGCCGGTACTTCTGATATGTGCTGCAATTTTTAGAAAGGGAAAATGACAAGTAAAACCTTAAGCAAGATAATGATAGTTAAGGATCCTAAAGTTTAAGTCTTCCAATTGATAGCCATTTCAATTTTAGATAATCAATCAACGACTTTGGTATTTAATAGACATTTTCAAGCTTTATGATCAACTGTCATTATCTTGCGAAAATTGACACTATCTGTCATTTTCCCTTTTGAAATCTGTCGTGATATGTTGGACATGGCAATGTGTTCACCTGTTTGTGTTAGAGGAGAGTCTTGGATGGGTGGATCGGACTTTCAAAACATTATTGTTGTTTTCAAGAACTTTTTTTTTTTTAATTTTTATATAAAAGCTTTCCATTCCAACAATGTTGTCTAAAGATCAACTCTCTTAATACAATGTGAAAGTTGGAAGTCCAGAATTTTTAATTTTCAGAGAAACCAATTTGAAGTCTTTTTCCCTTTTCCACCATAAACATGGAAAATAAAAGCAGAGATTAAGAAGGAAGAAATTCTCTAAGAAAAGTCAGCTTCCTAAAATTGCATGTGAGTAGCTATGAAGTACACGTTTCTAAACAAGACTTGTCGCCTTCAAAACAGGATTTTCAGAAAACAGAGTAGAATAAGAAACCTTGACCTTGCACCACAAATTCCAAGTCAGTATGAATTCAAATGCAAATGTAATTTCTTATGCTAATTTGTGACACAGCCTCCTAGCATAACAATCACAAATAACAGTCAGATTGATTCTGTAATCTGTAATTCCTGTGTGAGGACTAAGGATCTCGTGCAATACATCCATCAAAGATACAAGGAATTTTGATTGCTGTCAGAAAAATTGACAAATAATTCCCTAACCCAATCATAACTGAGAACAGAGTTTCCACTATCCCTGAAATTCAACAAGCACATAATATGAAGAAAATAAAATTGTGGGGATGAGAAATTCAACTATGGAATTTCTGCCTACAAAAATCATTTCTGCCTAAAGATGCCAATTGAGAATGTCATGTAAAATCACTGTTGAAGCTTTAATGGATGAAAGAAAGAGGTGGCTTCATATGCTGGAGGCCCTGTCAAGAAGATAAAAGAATAATTCAGGTGTCCTTATTTAGTCATGAAATGGAACCTAAATTTATATTTGAAGATTAATCAAACAATAAGTAAAATTCCATTATGGTCCTCCATGATACCTGCTGTATCATAAATTTCATCCATAAAACGATTACGAGGGAAAGCCTAGCAGCTAGCCACTCTCAACAATCGTGAGCCTAGACATTGACAAGACAAACCTAGAAAGAAGGATAGATATATACAGGGCTCGCTTCTGTATTGGTTTTTGAAGGATCATAAAGGCAGCCAAAAGTACTGCTGTTCTATTTGTTTCTTCTGCTCAAACATAAATGTGGTTCACAGTATGAGTTTATGTACATTAATTAAAGTGTATCTTTCAGCAACGTAAATTAAAAATTTGCAGTAAATGCTCACTACCCATCATGACCTATGATGTCTCTTCTCATGCTATGTTATGTGTCTGCGATCATATCTAGCCAGCCACTCTATTGCTGCTGCTGTTTGTATAATATATGGGTCAGGATTTTCTTCAGACTGATGGGCCCAACAAGTATTGGGACAGAAAGTACAAGAGAAGAACCAAAGATGGCCCAGGGCCCATGTCTGATCAGAATTTGCTACGAAGAAAGGGTAGAAGCGGGAATGATAATATGCAACAGGGGTAGCGATTTTCTGACATTGTCAGGTAGTGGGAGTACGTTTTAGGAGGGAAAGGCGTAGTAGTGAGGTAGGCAATTGGTGTGTTAGATAGGAGAGGCGTGTCTGATCTCTCGAATATCAGATCATGATTGTTTTCCTTCATTTTCTAGCTATTTTCTTAGCGTATTTCCAGGTGTGTTAGCTTTTTGCATCAATAATTAGTGTTTGTATTCTCTTATTTTCAATCAGTGAAGAGGATACACGGCAATATTTTCCCAGTCATATAGTTTCTAGCTGCTGGCTCTATCACAGACTGTCTCAAAGTAAACCGCAATAGAGAGATCTCATGGTACTGTTTAATGTTAGCAATGAATATTAATGCATAAAAATGATAACTTTAAATCTAAACAGGAAAATTTGTCAAATCAAAATTCTAGATCTCTTCCCTTCCTGTCTATTCTTCTCAATCCAATCATACTGTAAAATCCAAGCCTTTAGTGAGCCAATGTACTGCAACTCCATAATTCAGGACTGGTATGCTATTTCTACATGATAGATGGCGCACCTTTTTCTTGAGAGTAACTCGGTTTTGTGCTATTTTAACTTCACAGAAGACATCCGGATTGGTTTTGCTCGTAAACGGTGAGGACTTAGGATCACGTGCGATATATTCATTATTGTAACAGAAATTTTCTTTGCTGGTAAAAGAAAAGTTGACAAATAATTCCCTAGCTCATTCATAACTAAAAACACTGCTTTCATTATCTCTGAAGTTTAACAAACACAAAGAAGATATTATCGTCAAGACAAAACATTCAAATATTAGGCAAGAATGGGAATTGCATACCAACAATGTCGCTATTGTGGCTTTGATGGAGTTGGGGAGGATGGTGGCTTCATATCTGGGTACTGTCAAAAACATAAAAACAATCACACAAGGGTCCTTATTTACTTGTAGAATTAAAGCATGAAATTTTAGATATTACAATGAAACTACTCATAAGCCAAGGTAGTGCTTTCCGCAGAATTACCCTATTTTCTAAACAATGTGATTTAGAACGCCAGTAAACTAACATACTATAGGATACAAGTGTGGGCCCAACCATGGTCCTACTGAAATGCTAACTTTCATGCTCATACGTATTTGCTCAATAATTAAAATGAGGAAGGAGTTGAACCTTTCACCAATAAGCAAACAGAATATTATTGATCTCACTAAAACATTTTTTCCCGGCTAAAATATCCAAAAGTGATTTGATAGTACTTAAATAGATGGTAACTGGGGAGAAAAAAGATGGTTTCAGTTAATGTACATTTGGGTAGGGAGAGGAGGAAGCTTTAGAATCAATTTTCACATCTGGAAAGGATTCTGCAGACTTTCTCGCAGGTCCAGTGTCTGAACTTTGATCTTCCGGTTTTAGGGACAAGGAGTTACCATTATCTTCATTTAGCTGAATGGCCCCATTTGTACCAGGTTGTTCTGAAGCTTGTTTCTTTTTCCTTGGGTAAATATGTACAGAAGGAGGTAAAAGGGTATCCTGTATTTCCTGCAAATATAAAGGCATAAAATTCCTTCCTCTAAACCATCTTTCCAACAGACTTTCTGTAACCAGAAACCTCCATTTAAAGTTGTCATCAAATAAAAGAGTAGGCCTTGAATTATCACAATATAATAATGAATCCGCCATTTAGGATTTTTCATATTCAAAAGAGTATTAGATAAATGTTGCAGTAAAGGATGAAGAATTTGATTATTTGCCAACTTACATCAAATTTCTTATGAATTTTATGTGGTGAAGAACATCAGGCAGAATTGGGAAAAATTAAAAACACACATGCCATCCACCTTTGCTCGCCTCTGACTCCTCCTCTAATTGCATACACCTCCTTGAACCCATTCTTAAACAGGAACTTGGCCACTTGCATGGATTTACCATCAAAACTACCTTACACACAAAAAACGAAGCAACTAATGAACTTTGAGTTGTGTATAGCATTGGGTAAGAGAAAATGAAATGTTGTTCATCTACAATGCAACTTGTGTCACCTTTATAACAGACTTATATAAAATTATATTCCAATTTCTGTAAAAATAAAGATGTGAAGAATTGAACAGTAGAAGCAGAGGGTAAACTTTGAAACCTTCAATATTAAAAGATATTTAGTAGGTCAAAATAAAACAGCTTGTATTCAGGCCAAAAATAATAATAATAATAAAACAGCTTGTCGTACAAACAAGAAAAAGCTGCGCAGCAAAGACCCAAAGCCAATCCCAGATCAAGCTGCAGATAAATTTGGTGTTGAAAAACGTAGCACCTAGGTCGTGTACTGTCCGTAGGACCGAAAATTGAAGCAGTTATCCAGTCACTCCTTCGCGGGGTTATGTTATAGAATGAGAAATAGAAAACACTGAAAATGCATCGGCTACATTCCTCCAAGTGCCCTAATATGATTGTTCGTCTGATAGTTTTAAAATTTTGGTAGTCAAATAAAATTTCGGCCTTCATTTTAGCGTCATTGACGTAATTTATTGACGTAATTTATTGGAAAGTTAAAGCATGTTCTTAAATAGCCACATATACTCTTGTCCTAAAATTTAAAGTATGTTCTTATATACTCTTTGGGTCCTAATTATAAGTTACATTCAACATATTTCACACAGACTAAGAAAATTTTTAAACTTCATTATAACTCACATTTAAAATTTAACAACTTTTTAATTTTATCTTTATTTAATATACATTATATCTCATGTAAATAAAGTCAACACAATAATAAATAAAAGGTAAAATTATACATCCATACAAAAAAAATATCTCACGGTGCCCTATAAATAAAATTAAAAAATATCTTTTCTTTCTACCATAGAAATAGAACCAGAAGAGTATATATATAATTAGAGTGTAAATCACATTATTGAGCCACCCATATGACATCAATAAAATGAAGAATGACCTCACTCTTAATCAAATTGAAACATGGTACTCCTCTGGTTTTTAATATGAGACCTAATAAACTAATTCAAGTAGATTAAAAATGTTAGTTAAATTAGTTAATATAATATGATTTTCTAAAACACTCTAAACATCTTTCTTAATTTTCTCCCTCCCTTTCCTACTTAATTATTATTGAGAAAATATCACTAAGGTTAATTTGGAAAAATTAATAAACATATTAAATAGGTCTTATGTATAAGACTAACATCAACATCAACTCCCCCAATTAAATCTTATAATTAAGAAAATTTGTTAAATCAGCTATTTGCAATAAATAAATGTTATTTTCCTTAAAATACTGTTACTAATCATGTGTATTAATTAGAATCACTATTTGATAAAATATTTAATAAGTGCAACTACTGAAAGGACTTTTCTAAAAAAGATGGATAAATATGAGAAATAAAGTGGATTGAGGTCTTATATTTAGAACCAAATTAAAAGTCAGACTAATTCTTTTATTAAGGACTAGGAAATGAGTCTATCAGCTTTGAACTTGTCTTTTTTGGTCGCCGAAAAAAAAAAATAAAGGCAAAGAAAAGAAAAGTGACCTGCAGTTTCCCTCAACCTTTTCTCTCAATGGCCATCGCGATTTACACTGTTCCTTCTTTTCTTTTTATTCAACCTCCATCATTTTACGCGTTTGAGTTTCAAAAAAGTAACACGCTCAACACAATGGCCGGGTTTCCTAAGTTTCTACCGGGTTACCCAAATTTATACTAGGTTATCCTGAGTCAATTTTTCCCAGGAATTGCCAATCAATTGGATAGGACAAGTGGTCTGGGTTGTTGGTTAGTTTCTGTGTTTCTAGGCCAACCAGGTCAGTTCAGTTTGATTGTTGCGGTGGAGGAAGGCACCAACGGCTGCTGCCAACATCGCCGGCTATAATTCAGAAAATCGGTAATATTCGAAACCTATTCTGATTTTGAAAAAAAGAAGAGGAAATTATGATTGCTCAAACCCAAAATACTATTATTATATTGTATGGCCCTATAGGTGCTGTGACAAATTTTCTTCCCACTTTCTATTTTAAATATATTATTCTATACTTGGACATGTTTGCTTGCATAAATTCTTCTTTTTGGGACTCTCAGAGACATCTTGTATATAAAATTTAGTGATCCCGCCACGCATGCTTGCGGACTTTGTGAGGTAATCAAAATGAAATCATCTATATCATTTTTTATTAAGAATTAAAAATGAAGTTTAATAACGTCACTAAGAGTATTATGTGTCCTCATTATTTTTTTTTGGCCGATTTTCCTTTCCTATCTTTTTGCGTTATTTTCAATAAAAGGAATTGAAGAAATTGTGCGTTCTTCGATGAATTATATTCATTTGATTCAGTTTTAGATTCAAATGACACTGAACCGAATTGCCGGATTTTCCAAAAAGTGGGATCTATTTGACCTTTTATCTCAGTTTGGTTTCACATCTTAATTCAAATCTGTTCATGCTTACGCTTGTGTAACTTTAATTTGAATTTTTTTTGCCTGAAATGTGACTATGAATTTGCCCATACATACACACACATATAATTATATGTATATATATATATAAAGAATTTTCGCATAACATTTTAGATCACTAAATTGTCACTTTTGAAATTTCAAAATCCAACAACATTTCAACGACTCATTTATAATTTTAGATCACTATATTTTGGACAAATACTTAATTTTAATAGTGTCCTGTTATATTGAGCTAAATATTAGCAGACAATGGCCCAATTATTATGTAAAGTAAAAATCGAGCAAAAGTTAACGTAGTTCCAATTGCAGCCTCCATGCTTGGCCAAAAAAATAAATTACAGCCTCCATGTGCCCTTGGCCTTTGGAAGCCTTCTCCTATTCGGTTCCAGCAAATGCTCATGATGCATGCGGCTAGCTAAATTAGTCCATCTATTATTCTTCATGATCAGCTAATTTTTTTGTTTAAAAATAAGTCTTATTGCTATTTCTGACAATGATGTTGATTATAGTTTCACGGATATTTAATATTGTATACAGGCAAGAAAGTACGCTGATTAAGACTATTGTTAAGCATGTTTCAGACAAATTAGACATTGGACAATTATTTGTGGCCGAGAATTCAGTGGGAATGGAATCACGAGTTCATGAACTAACAATTGAATGGTCACAAAATATATCCCAAAAAGCTCTTATCATAGGCCTCTGGGGGATGAGAGGCATTGGCAAGACAACTGTTGCCAAAGCCATTTATAATAAAATGGGTCGTCAGTTTGAAGCCAGAAGTTTCCTGGCAAATATAAGAGAGAACTCAAAGCATGCTAATGACCAAGTTAATTTGCAAAAGCAACTCATTTCTGATATCACTAAGACACAAGTTTTCAAGATAGCTAACACTGATAGAGGAAAAAAGATAATTCAGGAAAGATTTCCTGACATAAAAGCATTTGTTGTGCTGGATGATGTGGATAGTGTCAATCAACTAAACACATTATGTGGGAGTCTTAAATGGTTTTGTTCAGGGAGCATAATAATCATAACAACTAGAGATTTGCATATGCTTAATGTGCTTAAAGCTGACCATAAGTATGGGATGAGAGGATTGAATGAAACTGAGTCTCTCAACCTTTTCAGTTGGCATGCCTTTAAGCAAGCAGCCCCCTTTGAAAACTTCACAGAACTCTCTAAAAATGCAGTCACTTACTGTGGTGGACTTCCATTGGCTCTTGAAGTCCTTGGTTCTCATTTGTTTGATAGAGAAATTGAAGAATGGGAGTATGTGTTGTCCAAGCTAGAAAGGATTCCAAATGATGAGAGACAAGCAAAGTTAAAAGTAAGTTTTGAAGGTTTAGAACATGGGGAAGAATACGTTTCTTGACATATAGAGTTTGTTGCTTCTTTATCAATATAAGGATAGAAATGTACCATTCCGGTCCGCGTTTTTTGACATAGGATGTTCTGTCCCGAGCCTATCCAAGTATATTACTATCCTTTTTTAATTTTACAAGTTTTTATGTATGAGTGATGAGATGTTTTTAGTGCATATTTTGAGTTTATATATTTTCTTTTTTTCAAATGGAATGTTTTTATTTTTTATTACTGTCATTTTTTTATCAATTTTCTCTATACAATTTTACCATGAAATCTTATGCTCCAAGTACATTTAGTTTTGAAATAAGAAATAAAAGACGTCCTGTTTCATAAATACTCCTAGCATTGGGGGGTACAAATTTAGTGTCTTCAGTAATGTAATGTTTGAAACCACTTGAATTTCATGACATACAAATTTAATGCTTTATTTAATTATTTTTATTGGTACACGTAAATTTAAGAAAGGCTCATACTTTGAGCGAAAGAGAGTATATAGGCAAGAAGAGTAGATAAGCACTCCTTCCTTTTTTTTTAAGAAAAAAATTAGTTAAAATCGGTTAAATATAATAAACATATAAAAACTGCAAGTTTTTTCTCAAAAATAATCTTATTTGCGGGAGGAGTATGTAAGAGAGAGGATAAGGACATAAAAGAATGATGATTTCATAAATGAGATAATAAATATAGTGAGTATTAAAAGAAGCAATTAATGGGGAGAAAAACAGAAAACTAACCAATAAAATTTGAGACATTTTGCAAGTTTTTCTCATAAATAGAGGTAAGATGGGGATAATATACAGTTGTTTTTTATGAGAGGAAGATGGAGGGAGTATGGCAGAGAAGAAACGGTTTTCAAAGGAAAGAGAAAGTGATACATTAGAATTAGAAATTACTTAGAAGACATGACGTTAAATTATAATTAACTGACTTCCGGGCCCCCAAAAAGATGAAATTGATTTGTTTCCTTGAAGTCAGGCTTTTGGCACTAAAACATTCAAACTTGGGTGGCTAAAGAATGAATTAATTATAAAGCCACTTTCTCGTAGTTACCATCGATACTCTATGTCTTGTAAATTGCGACCCATAGAAGCGTGTTATTGCCCCTGCTGCCTGATTCCGTCCATAAGCGGCGATGGCTTCGTCTTCTTCTTTTTCAAGTTCTTCCTGGACTTACGACGTGTTCTTGAGTTTCAGAGGCCAAGACACCCGTCATGGTTTCACTTCTCGTCTTTATGACGCTCTAAGACGGTCAGGAATCCATTCTTTCATGGATGATCCAGGGATTGAGAGGGGAGAGAAGATCTTTGGCTCGATATTGCAAGCAATTGAAAGATCAGGAATTGCGTTGCCAATTTTCACTCCAGATTATGCTTCTTCCCGTTATTGCCTGGATGAACTAGTGAAAATAATGGAGTGTCAAAGAACTCAAGCTCAGGTGGTCATCCCCGTATTCCATGACGTGGAGCCGTCAGATGTTCGTAATCAGAGAGGCAGATACGGCGAAGCAATGGAACGACGCGAGCAAAGGTTGGGACGGGGCAGTGATCGGGTGATGCAGTGGAGTCAGGCACTTACCCAAGCTGCCAACATTTCCGGCTTTAATTCCTCGCCAAATCGGTAACATTCGAAACCAGCACTCATTAGGGGGAAAAAAAAAAGAAGGAAATGATGATGATTGCTCACACTCAAAATGCTTTCATATATACTCTTATTGTCCTATTTACAGAGTAGAGAGAACAAATATTTTCCGATCCTATTTATAGTGTATTAAAAGAAATTTTTTATATGGATGTACAGTTTTACCTTTCATTTAATATTATGTTGACTTTATTGATATAAAGTATAATGAATATTAAATAGGGATAAAGTTAAAAAGTTATTGAATTTTAAATGAGAGTTAATGAAGTTTAAAGTTTTTTATATTGGAAGTGACTTATAAATAGAACCAAAGGAATATATGGCCTCTACTGTTATCAGAAATTTCCCTCACTTGCTAGAAAATCATTGCATACTTATTGTTATTGGAGACTAGCCCCTTTATATTTCATAAATTAATCTATACCTTTTTGGACGGGTTTGCTTGCGTAAATTCTTCATTTCTTTAACTCTTAGAGATATGTTTGCAAAATTCTTGGTCCATGCATGCTTGCAAATTTTTAAAGTTAGTAAAAGTGAAATGATCGATATATATTTTTTATTAAGAACTAAAAATAAAATTCATACTTTAGCAAAACTTCTCTTGATTTGTTAACAGAACATATTGTAAGAATTTTTCATTGATATACTGTTTTCTTGACCAGTTAACAGAACATCAATAAAAAATTATAAGAACGACGGACAAATAATAGTGAGAAAGACATATATTAAGGATCATCAGAATTAGAGACTCCCAAAATGCTCCTTCAAAATGGCTTAATTCCTATAAAGTTGTATAGACTTTTTTAAGATTAGGGTTTTTTTGTAAAATGACCTAATTATCCTCATAAAAAAAAAGCCCTCTCTATCGTTGGTCGCCGGCGGCTCCTCCAGCGTGCCAACAACCAGAGCTTCAACACCGATGGCTTGGGAATTTCTCCGGTAAGGGTTGGTCAATGTTGAAATTGCAAATTTATTAAAAATAGATTACATGTTTATATTTTTAAGTTTTAAGGTTAGTTATGTGATTTTATAAAAATATAAAAATAATTAGTATTTATTGTATAAAATTTTATATTTTAATTTGAGAATTTAAAGGCATATATTTTTAAAATAAAAAAATTCTAAAAAAAATGTATTGGCCTGCCAACTCACTCACAATGGGTTCAAGATTTCGAGTTTGTTGAACGCCAACCTATCAAAAAGTGGGTCTTTCTAACCTGACTCACTATGCTTGAAGAGATTTGATTGATAAAGAGTAAACTTCAGGGGCAAAACTATATTAAAAGATCAAAATTTTCATTATCTCTTTTCTTATATTATATTTATATGGGAACAGACATAGTATATAGAATGAAATTATTTTTCGTCGTCAACGATGTATGTATAATAATGAAACGGCAGGTAAGAGAATGATATCATAGAACTAGACATAAAAGAAAGAATCATAACTGAATTATAATTGACTGACTTCAGGCCCAAGAGAAGAAAATTATTATCGACTACTACTATCTTTTTTGTTTTAATTGAGACTTTTTGTATAGAATTCGTATTTAAACTTGGGTGGCTAATAAATGAATTAATTATAAAGCCACTTTCTCAGAGATTCCAACCCAGCCCACTGGGTTAAAGAACGCAGCTTGGCGAACTGATGTCAGAGGATTATACAAACAATTTGCTTAAGAAGCTGAACTTAACCTAATTATGAGATCACCAAAATGATATAATATAATTGAAGTAGTAAGTAATTATGACAGGCAAGTATAGAATAATAAATTATTATACCAGTGCTTTGGGTAGTTGATTTTTAATTTGCAAAGAGATCGTTTCACTAATTTTACATTCGAAATTATATACAGTGATGATTACAACTAATTTATAAATATGAAAAAGTAGGCAACCAGATTGTCATATGGAGGTGAACTGTTCTGATTTACGGCATCTTCTGGCTTTTTACTTCCATTGTGAGATCTGATATGAGACGTTCGTGACACTAATCAGTTCATTTTCAGGCTTTTAAGGTATACTTTTGTGATTTTGTTCCCAATAAATTTTAGGGGAAAATTAAAGAAAATAAGTTAAAGGGGGGCTTCAAATGTCTATCTCTAGTTCCCTTTTGCATCACTAATAAATCAAAACTAAATTATGATTGACTGACTTCTGGCACAAGTTGCGGCATGTCTTGTGTATGCTCAGTTCATATGGAGTGCAACTAACAAAGTGCTACCTCATCGCACCTTTAATATAAAAGCTAAATGATTAATTTGAAGATATTAAAAAATTAGTTAGGTTGGTTATTTATCACAAACATGTGTTGACCTTCCTACACTATCATATTGAATTTTTAATCATGTGCATTGAAATACTTTTCAATGGGAACCTCTTACAATTAATTAATAGGGATATTTTGGAGAAAATGGAAGACAAAACAAATTGAGGTCTTATATTAAAAATCAAATTTAATATTTTAAATTTTATATTAAGGATTAGAGGTCGTAATAAGATGAGGGCATGTAACTTTAATCAATTCAATGCAAGTTTGATCTATTCAGAACCAGTTAATAACACGTTAATATACCATTAGAAAAGAACACTTGACCTATTATTACTTCTGATTACGTGTGTATTATCTTTCAATTTGTTCAACTAATCCAATCATGTTTGAATTGATCAACTTACGGTTATTTAAAAAACAAAAACATACATTAAGTTATCAACCTTCTAGCTTGCCCAAGTACAATGTAACATACATAGGAGCCTAAACAAAGATGCTGATATATATATATATATATATATATATCAATTATATATTTTTCCCTCGTCAACAATATCTCGTAGATAGCTAGCGTCGATATATCTTGAGAAAATTGTGATCCGTTGAAGCGTTGTATTGCGCAATTATCCATGGCTGCTCCTTCGTCTTCTTCTTCTTCCAGTTCTTCCTGGACTTACGATGTGTACTTGAGTTTCAAAGGCACAGACACTCGTCGCAGTTTCACTTGTCATCTTTATAACGCTCTAAACCGGAGAGGAATCCATGCTTGCAGGGACGATGCAAAGACTGAAAAGGGAGAAGATATCTCTGAAAAAGTATTTCAAGATATTGTTGAATCACGAATTGTATTAGTAATTTTATCTCCAAATTATGCTTATTCCAGATGGTGTCTGGAAGAACTTGTGATGATAATGGAGTGTCAAAAAAGTGGAGGTAAGGTGGTTATGCCCATATTCTATAACGTAGATCCGTCTGATGTTCGTGGTCAGAGAGGCACATATGGTGAGGCAATGGAGCTACACCAACAAAGGTTGGGAACAAGGGAGAGTGATGGGGTGGTGCAGTGGAGGCAGGCACTCTCAGAGTTAACGAACATTTCCAGCTTTACTCAGGACAGCAGGTTGTTGGATTAAACCATTTCTATTTCATAAATAATTCTATACTTTTTGGAATTATTTGGACATGTTTGCTTGCATGAATAATTCATCTTCTTCGTAACTCTTTAGAGGCATGTTTACTTGGAACACGGTACTCATCTCCCTGATGATGAGGATTGAATGAAAACCTATCCTCCATGCATGCTTCCAAATTTTTGAAGTTAATAAATATGAAATTATCTATACATTTTTTTTATTAAGAATTAAAAGTAAAAATTACACTTCACTAATTTGTCACTTAGATGATGATGATGATGTTGTTGTTATTGTTGTTGTTGCTAATTTGGCTGATTCTCCTTTATGATCTTTCTGCTTTATTTTCAATTAAAGATATTGAAGAAATTAAATTGTACATTCCTTTCGATGAATTATGTTCGTTTCATTCAGTTTTAGATTCAAATGAAGCAGAACCGAATTGCCTGACTTTCCAAAAATTAGGATCTATATGATTTCATCTTAATTCAGCTTCGTCCGTCATGCTTATGCTTGCGTATCTTTAAATTTTCCTTTTAGATCACTTTTGAAATTTCAAAATCCGACAGGTTTTCAAAGATATTCATAGCTTCGGTTGAAATTCTGTTAAATTGAAGTTAATAGATATGCATTACTTAATTAGTATGCACAAAAATAAAATAAAAACACCAGGAATCTTCATATCAAATTTATTTTTAAAAAGGAAAAGACAAAATGGACAAGTTGAAGATTTTGAAAAATATGTTGAAAATTTGCATTTGGACGATCTTCTAACAAGAATATTATCGCATACATTCTACTACACTATTCTGGGATGAAAGAGTTGACATTTAATTTTACAGGTTTAATTGTCACTTACGATTGTTTATAATATTAAAATATGAGCAGACAACGGTCCATATAAAATTAAAAATATATTAACAACCTACATTTGCCCTTGGCCTTTTGGAGACTTCTTTGGTTTCTTTTTTCCTTTGATGCACATGTACATAATTAATCAGTAGCAAGCTTGTTGTAGCTCATGAGTGCATTAAATGCTTTCTTGAAAGTGGCAAGTCATGAATTCAGCACGGCTTGTAACATCAGTTTGTTAATACTTGCCTTTAGTCAAAAAATAATGTACATATTTAGTAGGCAAATTAGTCCATCACTTATTCTTAATGGTCCATTAAAATTTTTCTTGTTGTTTTATTTCTAATAAATAATGATGCTAATTATTGTTTCACCAATGTCTCAATTTAATGTTGACAGCTTGTCTGAAAGTGAGCTGATTGAGAAAATTGTTGAGTTTGTTTCAAGAGAATTAGGCATTGAAGAATTACCATTTGTGGCTGAGCATCCAATGAGAATAGAGTCACAAGTTGATGAGTGGTTCCATTACGATGTGTTCTTAAGTTTCAGAGGTGAAGACACTCGTCGTGGTTTCACTTCTCATCTTTATACCTCACTAAAACAGAGAGGAATCCATGCTTTCATGGACAATCCAGGGATTGAAAGGGGAAAAGAGGTTTCTGGCTCATTAGGGCAAGCAATTGAAAGATCACAAATTGCGTTGGTAATTTTTTCTCCAGATTATGCTTC